CACAATTGATAAAGATTTGTGATGTCGTATAATCGATAGGACACATATAATCAGAGACAATCATTCTTCCAAGAAAAAGAAAAAAGGATGAGAAGCAGGACGTGACATATTCATTTTGCTAACATCATTGTTTGATCACTATTATTCTTTATCTTGTTTTGTTAGAATATATATTCACCTTCTATCATTATGAATATTGTTCGCATACACTTTTTCGGAAAATATGTACAAAAATCATTTTTTTTCTCTTTCTCTCACCAAGGTTTCTTGTTCACATTCTTTTTTTTTTTGTTCTATTTCTAAATAAACCACTAGTCTACATCATATAGAAACAATAGTTTATTTTTGATCATCATTAATAATATCAGGCACGTACCATCATTTGTAGTCGACAAATAGTCTATTATTAAAAACAACGACGATCCAAAATGACTGACGTAAGTAAAATTAAACTATCGATAATTTGTTAGTTGAATGTTTTTCATATATTTTTCATTTTTCAAATACTCTTGGATATGGACGTAGAGTTGTGCGTGTTAGGCAATGTATAACAAAAATATTTACCTTTTTGTGAAGTGGAAAAGAGCCATGCTTGCTAGTTAACTGTTATTCATGGCTGACCTTTTCTTCTCCTATTTCCTTTGCATTTCTACTAGAATAGTTTATTCAAAGGGAGAAGGAATAATGTCTAGTTCTGTTTACTAGAATATTACACGAGGACTGTGAAGCTGGGATAGTAGCCATAGACAGCTGTGCTGGTCTGCAGTCTTTCAATTGCTGCTGAAATTTCTTGTACTATCAGAAGGAGTGTCAAAAGACAATTCTTGTTTCTGAGTGTCAAACTGGCATCTTTCTAATTGTAGAAAAAAGAGAAGAAGAAAGTGAAAAGTACAACGAGCAATGTGTTCACAATGTTTGATCAAAAACAAGTTCAAGAGTTCAAAGAAGTAGGCGGGCTCACATTATTGAAGAGGAAATTCCAGTCTTTATTCTTCTTGTCTCTTGTAGGCATTTGGTCTGATGGATCAAGATCGCGATGGACAAGTCAGTTTAGAAGATCTCAAGGAAGTTTTTTCGTCGTTAGGTGACGTAGGCAAAGGCATCGATTAATGTGAAAATAAATATTTATCGTGTTTTTCTAGGCAAAGCACCCAAAGACGCAGAATTGAAAGCGATGATAGATGAAGCGGGTGGTCCACCAAATTTCACCAAATTATTGACAATGTTCGGCGAGCGACTAGGCGGTAATTATAGATGAGCAACTGCTTCCCGTGTACTTGTCTCTTTGTATCTGAGGATATTCTGAGGTGTCTTTGTTCCATATAGACAATGGAGAAACTTTTAGATAATGTACTTTTTTAAAGGTACGGATGCCGAAGATGTGTTAATGAATGCTTTCAAGAACTTTGATGAAGAAAAGAAAGGGACAATTGGTAGAGATGCGTAAGTCCACTTTGATATTTGGTTCGGATCGAATTGTTTCAAACGTTCTGTTTATCGTAGGCTACGAGAACTGTTAACGAGCATTGGTAAACCAGAAGATCTTCTCTCAGATATGGAAGTAAGATAAAAAAATAGAGAGAAAATGTGGCGTGGATTTTAACCAATTGTAGACGATAGTATCGTATTGTTTGCTTGCTCCTCACCTTAACCTGATGGTTTAAGTTTTTTAGTTTAGAAAGTGAAAAGACTAGTCTATAAAATGCAACGATCTTTGAAGTGAGAGAATTGTACACGATTCAAGTTAAAAAAAGCTTATTACGTACTCTCATAATTCATTTTAGTTTAATCAAATGTTAGAAGGTGCACCGGTGGATGCAAAAGGACTATTGGATTATCAAGCGTTTACGAAACTGATCAAACGTGGCAAAGAAGATGAATGAAAACAGTTCGAAGGAAGTAATATAAAGATATCCTTGAGTTTAGGACAATTAACCTCCTGTTATATACCGTTTTCGTATCATTATCTTGGGCCTTCTGTTGATCTTTCCTTTTTTTTTCAAATAAATATTCGGTAGCTATAGATCAATGGTAAATCGTCGAGGTAGAGGAATTTTGGATAAGAAAAGATCGGAAATGTTGATGAGACTACTATTCAATACGAGAAATGGTCTAGCATCACAAGGAATAGATTCTTAGTTGAG